GAATTACTGAAATAAAGCTACTTTTTCATGATATTCTAATTTTATGACCAGCACCTGTATAAGGTGACAAATGAATGTTTGGATAATTTTTCAAAATAACAAACCTTCAAATCTTTTCAGTCAGGTAAGAAAAAATAAATGACTTTTGCAAATAAAAATATGTATTAATGGTACCTACATGGTCCTTCCTGTGCAGAATGACAAAAAGCAACATTATTTATTCACCAAAACCTCTGTAACTTTGCTCCAGTTGATTTTAGCAGCATGAATCTTTGCACAGTTACTGTACACAAGTGGATTTATGGTTTYTAAGAGTTTTTAGCCTGATTCATTATGGTTTTAAATGGGTTATATACTATCAAATGCAAAAATTATTCAGACAGGAGGGAAAAAAATGTAAAAAACATTATGCTCCATCCTCAATATATCTAAAACAGCAGCTGTTTTAATACTTACACTTCTAATAAATTCTCCCAAGTGTTAGCTTTATTTTGATACCAAGAATATTTAAGTAAAGTTGGTAAATGCTGAGATACACCCAGTTACATTTCAGCATGGGATTTCAAGCAGAAACATCAAGGAAACCCTTTGGGGCTTAAGTCGTTTCTAATACTGGGCACTGAAAATGATACAATATATCAGCATTAAAATCTTTATCAGCATTAAAATCTGTATCAGTAAGACAGGGCTGATATTATCGTCTGATATTGACTTCCCACTTTTTAGTTTTGTGTTTCTGTTTCGGGAGGGGAGATGGTTGGTTGAGCGGCATCTGTTTGATCATGAAAGTGATATTAACGCTGCACAGCCAGGAATTACTGAAGTACAGCCATGTCAGAGGTCTGCCCATTTGTTTACGGTATCAAAAAAAAAAGACACAAGGGTGTGAGATGTAAAAACCGGGTCTTCTTAGTTTCTGCAAACTGCTGTTGTTCCTGAAGAGAAAAACTCTGAAACAGGCTGGTTGAACAGCAAGAATCTTTATTTTGCAGTCCAGGAGATTTACAGCCAAAAACCAAATTGTGGCCTTCTAAGCCAAATGAATCACCAGGTAAAAAGATGAAGACGAAGGTGAAGAGTAGGGGCGTACAAGCCTTTTTTATAGGTTTCACAGTGCAGTCCAACAGATGCACCATGAATTTTGTCACAGTATACCTTAAGCGTTCCTTTCCTAATATGGTAATGTGCCAAGTTCTGAAGCTGGGGTCTAAGAGAGACATAGCACATCTGTGCATTCCTGAAAAGAGGCCCCCACTTTTAGACACTACAGGTGTTTGCGCATATGTGTAAAATATAATTTGTGTGTTCGTGTAATATCAGTAAATATCAGTTATCGGCCATAAYGGCTATAATTATATCGGATAGGTCTGCAGAATACATCAAAAATTTATCATTATCGTGATAACAGCCTGTGCAATATGCATATCGCAACAACTGCATAAACTGCGATAAATGGTTGACTTAAAAGTTTGCATTTAAGCGTTTTGTTCAGATGGAAGCTTGAAGTATTTCACCAATCGGATGGAGCCCTTCATGTATTTAGTCAAATGGATGGATCTCTTCATATATATAAAAAAATCAGGTTTGTTTTTTAGGTTGTTTTTTTGGCTTTGAACCCAGAGCAGAAAGATGTCAACACCACATATTTGTTAATTTATCGCAATTCATATCATCATCGCAATATTAAGCACTGTTATCGCACATCACAGGTTTTCCTAATATCGTGCAGTGCTRATATTGGATATCRATATCGGATGACATTTTCATATGTGTGCATCCCTACTGGACACTAAAAACAAAGTCAAAAGAAACTACAACAGGATTACTCTTTGTAATCATTCTGCTTTAACCAAACACTGGACAAAAAGCCACAAAGACAGGATTCGGGGGGGTTTCACTCAGAGCCGAACGAACAGATTGGTGGATTCGYGGAGGACCGGCGTGTTGCTGCTGTTGCCTCTGGTTGTTGCCACGGTGACAATTTATGTCCTCAGTGACTGATGGATGCGGCGACCCTGCCCTCTTCCTGGTGGCTGGGTGTGAACGTGTGTGTGTGTTGGAAAGAAGACGGTAGATGTAACGAGACGTTTCTGTACGTGTGGTCTTAAATACAGTATATATAAGGAGTGTAACAGAGGAGGTTTGATGAACGAGTTTAAAGGAGCGGGCAGGAGAAACGTCAGTTCTTTAGAGAGAGAGAGAGAGAGAGAGAGAGAGAGAGAGAGAGGTGAACGAGAGGAGGAGAGAAATATGGAAATGGAAGCCATTGAAATGGAAAGTGAGGGGACGACAAAGAGCGAGACACTGAAAACACAACGTGTGTGTTTGGGTGAGGTTTTATGCACGTGAGACCCCCCTCCCAAAAAAAAAATCTTTGTGTCTGAAGCCCCTCTGCAGCAGCWGTGTTGTCATAGCAACGGTAGCCAGGCGATGACGCTGGGCATCACTCTGAACACACCCAGCTCAGCTGCTCCGTTTCGATGACGCAGAGAAAYGAGGTGAAGCCCACCGAGCAGCCGGGGGGACGAGGCAGCTTTATTTCATCCCTGTGATTTATATCAAAAAAACACATTATGCATATTTTAACTTGGCAAATTTGGTCATAAATTCTACAGATGCATATAAATGTTTCATTTCGTAGTTTGCAACAAGCGRTCTTTAATAAAGAAAGGAAAATATACTGCGAAGATTTGCACCAATGTTTAGAAAAAAAGATGATTTCCTGGAAACTCCAGGAATGCCAGATGATGGACTTTTCTTCTTTGTTATCCTGTAATAATGATAATAAAGTGAGTTTCAGTAAATCAGGGAGATATTATGATCTTGTGAGTAAACATGCCCCAGATCTTTTGCTGCAGCGAGAGATGGGATGGAAACAAGCCCCGCCCACTTCAGCTGCATCCACCTGCTGACATCAGGAGGGTCATCCTTTAGTTTCTTGTTTTACCGCCACGTCACAGTTTGTTTTCCTGCATTGCAGCGTTTTTCTCCTCATGTTAGTCTGATGTTGGACGTGTGCAGTGTTTACACGCCTGGAGGGGCTCGTTCGGCCCCCCCCTGTGGTCGAGCTGCGATGGGCGGGGCCGATGGATCGCACCCATTGATTTGTCTCCTCGCTGTGTGTTCGTTATCTGCTGGGCCTCTTTAGAGTTTGTTTTCAGGTCAGAAGAGCTGTGCAAGAGGTTCATGTTTGACTGTTTTGTATCTGACTAATGTTTTATTAAAAAGAATATTTAAACTTTTTTCACTAAAGAAAAAGTTTATGATAAAACAAACTTGAAGAGACGACTCTAAAGCCTAAATCCTCAGTCCTAACAAGGCTGATTAGTTCTGATTAATATTATTTTTGTTGTTGTTTTTGGGCACAAAAGCTGATTTTGATCACCATAAATACCAACTTCTATAATAAAATCATATTTCTGTGTATATTTAATAACATTTTTATTTTTATATCTATTTCTCCAGGGCAGTTATCCAGTCTGGGACGACTTCATCAGCAAGGCCACCAAACTCCAGTCACAACTTAGGTAACACCCTCACACACACAAATTCTTATTTCTATCCTTATTAGGACCATTCATTGACTTCCATTCATTTTTACTGATTTTTAGTCATTTCTATAGCCTAACCATGACTCCTTACCCTAAACCTAACCCCCCAGTACATCCCCATCCCCTAAAACCTAAACTCAATTCACATTATTTTATTTTATTTATGTTATTTACTGTTATTTAACCAGGCAAGTCCCATTGAGATCTCAAATCTCTTTTTCAAGGGAGGCAACCTATAGTACATGTTTTTGTGGGTGGGGGAAACCGGAGTACCTGGAGAAAACCCACCTTAGTCTTTAATCTAACCTCCAAATAATTTAGGACCAGTCTTTGGTCTGTATTAGGACTACTGGTCTTAACAAGGTAGGTGTGTATAATGGAAACAGTCCTATAAAGATAACAAATACAAGTACACACATACAGGTTAACACTACTGTGGTAATGAGCTCTGATGGTTTTATTTTGCAAAGCAGTTTGAAGAATTCACAAATCTTTATTAGCATTAAAATGCTTATATTGTCAAAAGTCTTCTTTTCTGATATACAGCTGTGAACAAGTATTACAGAGTGTGGAGTCCCATTTGTGAATATGTAATAATATAAAAGTCTTTATCCTCCTTTCATTTAACTCTGTTCTGGATTTAGTTTATCTACAGTTTATATTTTCTTTGTCTGAACAGAAATACAAAACCTAAATCTTACCAGTGCCAGAACACTTTAYTCTCTATTCAAAAAAGTGAGATTTTTGCAGAAAATGATTTTATTTCTGAAACTTCTCTTTAGAAACTACAAGGTTCCAGTAGCTGTAGTTGGACGTGATTTCATGTCGTCATTGTTAAACATAAGCTGAGGCTTTATGGCTTCATGTCGGTTCAATATGCTAGAGTTTCAGGGTCGCACAGCTGGACTGCAGAACGCTGCGTGCTGCAGGTGTTTATGAACCGGAGCTCATGAGAATCCAATCAGTCTGCTTCATTAAGTGTTTAAATGTCAGGCTCACCTCCTGTTCTGTCACTGTTTCACTGCACGCACACACACACACACACACACACACACATGCAAACACACAAGCACACACAGAGCTGATGTTTGCAGACAACATGCACATAAACTGCAGAAAAAACAGCACCTAAACGTTGTTTTGTCATGGAAAATTTCACCACATGTATAATTACAACATTCAGCCATCAACCAGTCRGTGCCACCTGCCCTGCAGCGATGTCACACACACACGCACACACGCACAACTTAATTACCCTTCTTTAGCTGGCAGAGATTAATGACASCAGCATAAAGTTGTTATAGAGATGGAGACTCAACTCTGGGACAGAAGTCAGCAGAGGAGCATCTCCTTCATTTGTTTRCGTCTCTACACACAAACAGACAAAAAATGTATTAATTCAGTTAGATTTGTTCATTAATATTGACAAAAATAGCGTTCATATTGACGTTTTTCACCCTTTGTTTATTTAATTATTTTGATCAGGTATTTCTGGATTATTGTTTTTTTCCACTAATGCTGCGTCTGTTGGATCTCGCAGGACGACGGTCGTTGCAGTCGCAGCCTTCCTGGACGCCTTTCAGAAGGTGGCTGATCTGGCGACCAACAGTCGAGGTAAGACTGAGACAAAGCAAATAAAAAATATGTCAAACATAAAATCAATTCAGAAATAACACTTTAAATTCACATGTGATACTTTTTTAATCAAAGTTGGACCATTTGTGGAGTGTTGATCAGGGATTCAAGCTGTTAGCCAYGAACTGAATCCAGACAGTAGCTGTGTTTCCATTGACCATGAAAATGCGCAAATTAGAATTTCAAAAATAAATGTCCTCAATGGAAACACGTCTTTTTAGAAAAAAAAGTTTTTCAACAAAATGTTTTTGCACTAGGATGAGATGGTTTTTCGGCCATATCGAAATTGATTTATTTCGCAAAACTGCAATAGAAACATTTTTTTCGCATCACAGGAGTCACGTGATCAACAACCGGCTGTTTCTACTGGTGAAAAGAYGACAAAGAAGATAACAGGAAATAAAAGTAGTAGTGAAATCACCAAAGTAGTAAAAGAAARTAGTAAACTCATCGACTACAATTTCCCAAAAACACAGCATACGTAGCCGCTCCCAAGTAGGGACTTGTCTCTGGAAAGCCTCGATAAAAGACGCCGACGTCTCCTCTGATGCTAGTGTCGCGGTAGCAACATGCTATGTGTTTACATCCATCGCCGCCATGTTTGTAATGACTTCTCGCGAGAACAAACGTATTCACGCGTGACTTTAATAGTGTTTCTTACTTAATGGAAACACTGCAATTGCGAAACTGTGTTTTTTCGACATTAACAGAATATCGACAAAGTTTTGTGCACATTTTCAATGGAAACACAGCTAGAGAGGAGTTGAATGTTGGTTCTGTGGTTTTACTCCAGTAGTTTTCTGGCTGTTGTTTATTGCTGGGTTGCTGATKGGCAGTTTCCTTCTGTTGATTCTGCATCAAAATCCCTATAAATTTTGCGCCATGTATGGTTGCTAAATAAATTTACAAGTAGATCCTTGCACATAGAAATAACAGGGGTCAACTCATTGTTAGCATTAGCGATAGYATTGTTATCATAGGGCTAAATACTTAAACTAGCACAACTCACTTCTCACCTGGGTGGAAACAAGTCAGCAGACATTTAAAGTTTCTCTGGATCCTAAATGTTTGACCCAACTTGAATCAAAAAATAAATAAATAATAAAAAATAAGGCTTCGAGGCTTTTGAAAGCTTTCCTCTGGCTCGTCGTATACTACAAGGTCTGCAGCACCAGTTTATGTCAATCATCTCGATGTCGGGTAAATCCTCCAGATTATATGACAAGTCTTTTTTATTAAAACAATATAGATTATATCTTAAATGTACACATTTTTTTCACCATACCTCGTCTGCACCAGCCCATTTAGGGCATTAGTGTCCACGCTGTGATCCATTTCACTGTGTTTTGGACCGGAGCAAATCACTTCCTGCCCTCGTCGTTGGGTCACGACTTCAACCCAGCAATAGGTTTAATAAAATGTCCAGAAAGTTCAATGTTTGGTCTATTTTCAGTCACTTTAGCTGTTTTTGTAGGCAATCACTTCTTATACCCAACATCTGGTCACAGTATTGTTTTAACAAAAATACAGTACATATTTTCYAAGTACACAAAGTAAAACTGGTCAAATCTAAAAGTATTCATTCAAAGATTTAAATCAAATGGTCATCAATCCAATAAACTGGACTGCATATAATCAAAACAACTTTTCTGAGCTGTTTTCAGATCCTCAGACGGCTCACRGTGTAGAAATGCACAAAGAAACTACTTAGCCAAAGGTTTTAGTCCATCAATACCTAAAAGAGAACCAGAGAGAGACTGCTCTGTCTTAGATGTTGGAGGGAAGCCAGATGGCTGCTAAAAGGCCTCAAAGAACCTCAAAGATGAGCAGGAGAGAGAGAAATGTTGGGGTGGTAGGGGGGTGGTGGGCTTGGTGAATCTGCTTCATACAAACACAGCAGCAAGACAAGGGGGAAAAAAAGGCCTACAGGGAAAACGAACACCAGTTTTTGCTGACCTGAAGATAAAGGAACGCTCCCACTCACACAGTCAGGGTTTTTTGTTGGCCAGCCTGCATACAGCTAATGCACACTTGGCTTCAGAACAGAAACACAAACTGTAGAGGACAAACCTGCAAAAATGGATCCAGGTGAAAAATCCATCCATTWTTTTGCAGGTCAGGAGACACAGTTAGAGACCCTGAAACATTTATTTTAGAGATCCTTTTTATTGTATATTTCTTATCCTCTTTACTTTGAGTGAAAGAATAAAAAAAGAGTGCTGGCATGTCACTTAAATTAAASTGTTGCAAATCTTCAAATTGGATATTTATTAAAATATGTTACTCATTAGGGTTTTGGAGTGAATTGCATTACATATCAATATATAAATTAAAGACCTGACATTCCTTGAATTAATGCATATTATTTTGCTAACAGACAAATGAAGAATAAAGTCATTTRCGTACATTTCCTAACACCAAATTTCACCAAACTCTGGCTTTGATTGGATAAATGAAAGATTAAAGAAGCTTGAATGTCTTGTGTGAAAATCACCAATGCAGGATTTCCTCTAACTGTTGCTCACGATGTCTTTATTATGTCATTATCTGCAGTGGGAACTGTCAGAGAGGCAGCAGTTGAAGAAAAGTAGCTCGGCCAATAAAATGCAAATCATGTAAATAAAACACAGCCTCGAAGATTTTATTCTGTCACACAAMCAATATAATCTGTTTTTTTGGGTTTTTGCTGCTGTTGTGAAGCAGTTTTCACATCCATTATTGATTAGTACTGTTCCACTATTGACCAGTAATCACAGGCAGCTTTTCCTTCCTATCATTAAACAGTGACCAATCAATATGGAGCGCTTCAACGATTGGTTAAACCAAGCAGGAAGGTTTGATGAGCAGCTCGGTTTGATTTGTGCCTATTTGGCTGTGAGCTCCTGTGTGTGTCACAGGAAGCTCCTGTTTAATATGAAATTTATGGTTTTCCCCCGGGGAGCTTTGTTTCAAGGTTGTGTGTGTGTGTGTGTGTGTGTGTGTGTGTGTTTTCACGGTGCTGGAAGTAGGCTAACT